CATCAGTGGGCCCATGCACAAGGTATGTCCTTCCATAATGGAAGGGCACCCACCTGCACAACAGACTTGCAAGGAGCCTCACTGTATGACAGCATAGTGAAGATACCAAAACATCCTGACCAGTTACTTTAATTCTTTTAAAGCCTCAAACTAAATGTTTCATTCATATTAAGTGATAGTATTCATTTAAATAAATGTTTAACAGATAGTTATTAGCAGAGTGGTCATACTTTAAACATTTAATTTGCTACCAATACAGTTTTGCATTAGGAAGCCTGGAAAACAATTACAAATTACACAATTCAATTTTCCAAATGGATTACTCCGTAACTAGACAGAAAGGCTGTTTAAATTACTTCTGCTGTTTCAAGGCAAGATTAATACAATTGGATTGAAACTTAGATCCCCTCAAGGAATCAGTATATTCCTGTCAGCAGTGTGCAATTACTTGGTTTTGTATGGAAATATTAAGGATTCTTCTGGCACACTGCAAAGTCAAAAGTCACTGAGAGAAATAAGAATGTCTTTCTTCCTCCAATATTATTTTGTTAAAGCATAATGGTAATTTGTGGTTATTATTTACATTTAACAAGTGAAAACTAGACAGGTACCTAAAAGGCAACTCTGTGTAGGTTCTGTAGCCTGGATTCTAATTATTTTCTGTCCATTGTGGGACCATGTGAATTAAGTGGGCAATTTGCTTTGTGTATGCAAATTTCCAGTTCATTTCACAATGGAACAGATGACTGTTCTCAGACGACCTGTATTTTAGGACACTTTAACCTTTCCACTTCTTAGAACAAGATGAGAAAGGATTTAAAGGTCAATAATATATATATATATACACACACACATATAGTCCTTATTTCTTTTGTTGCTGCAGTAGAGGACGCATACATCAGGCATTCAAATGAGAACAAACTGGACCCCCTCAATATAATAGAAGCACCACCAAGGCACCCCAGAGACACTGCTTGTGACCTAAATGTCAGGTAGGTAAAGGGGAGACCTTGACTTGATAAAGGTGCCAAGGAGATGATGTACGGTCTCAGACCACAGCAACTCAGCTCCAGTGACTGGTACCATTATGGTGCCAGCACAACAAATGCTCTGGACAGCCCTTTTCCACTAATAAACTGAAGTAACAATTGCACTGTAATTCATCACCGAAAGGAAAAAGCAACGAAATGAAACAATTCAACACTTCAGTGCAGGAGGCAGGTGCTACTGCAAAATTAGCTCCATTCATCATTTAAATTTTTCTACAGTTTTATGACTAATTAAACCTTTCCTGAGATTGATGGGGTAAGTGGGGGCTCCTCAGTTTTCCAGATTTGATGCTGCTTTCAGCAGTGTTTGAGAACCACCTCAGAACGATGCAGGAAGTTAACAATCGTATATCTGAAACACTGGTAATCTGTAAGTGAGGTTTTCCTCTAACAGTATCATCTGTCAGACTGAACTGCGTTCATCCTTAGATTCATTAGCACAGGCTTATGACACAGTGACACTTGACATATTAACAGACTAGCTGGGCTTCTCATTTGTAGGATTAACTTCATTGTCAGCAGCAGAGGGATGCAGCCTTCTGTCCAGGAGTGACAGAACTGTAATACTCACAGAAAAGCCTCCACACACCATCAAGCTGTTATTACAACAGCTGCTCAGGCTGACCAAATGTGTATCAGGACAACAGCAATGACTATCCTAAACCTCTGGATGATGTCTTGAGTACCAAAGTCCCATTACTATTCTATATCAAACCAGGTGACAAGTGGAGTTAGTTGAAGGCTGCCATATCAAGTTGTTTGTTGGGGTTTATTAATAATTAATTATGCTTTTTATAAGAATCAGTTCAACTATAGAGCTGCACAGAGCAGCAGAGACATGTTCTCCTTTTTCAACACCTCATATTTAATACTGTTAGAAGCTGCATCATTCACCACCTTAGAATTTCACACATTTACAAAGCTTACTTGAAAAAGGAACTTGTTTTTTTCCACCTGTGCTCTTTGTAAGTTAACACATTTTAGCCAGAAAATGCTATTTAATATTCATTAGGTTCCATTTCAGGAAGGTTCATTAAAACTAAACAGGATCCATCAGCTTGTATAGCTGATGACTCTACAACTAGGGGACAGCTTCATTTACCATCACAGGGGAAAAACAGGGATACTGCAGAGCCCCATTGCCAACCAGCAACACTGTGTTAGTGACAACCCACTGTCCTGGGCGATCACACTGTACTTGGTTAGCATTGCTTCATTACAGAGTGGTGAAGAGGAGTGATAAATGAAAACAAATGCCAATGGCAATCTTCCAGGGCAGATCCCACAAGGCCATCCAGCCTGTCTGCACCTCAGTGGCTCTCAGCAAGTACGTCCACAGCATCCAGCTCCCATGCTGCGAAGGGAGATGTCCATTTTAACAGGAGGACTAGAGGTTCCTGGCAGAAACCTCAACACTGTATCCCAGTCTACATTGGGTCTACATTTCAGGGACCTGAAGCAGACAGAATTTTAGGGGAAGGGCTCAGGGTGACTGGAGCTGGTAGTCTAGCTCAACAGGTCCAAGACACTAAAAAGCAATGCAAGAGGGATCACCTCAGGTATATTTCACTTAACGTTCGTAAGACTCAGACCCTAAGGAACCTCACCTGTCCCAAAGGAGACTTAGAAAATAATAATCTATCAGTTCACTCCAGCACTTTCAAGAGGATTCAATGCATTCAAATGTGGTTTACTCCTCCAACAGGTAAAAATTTCTTCCCCTCAAGACATGAGAATTTAGGCCGCCATCCTGCTTGAAAGAGCCCCTAGATCTGGCCAAGTTCTGATAAAATCCACACAAAATATGTGTGGAAGATGTCTTAGTGCTATGATATTTCTCAAACCTCAGTCAAAACTAGGGTTTGCTTTACTGCCTTTATTAATGTTACAGCTCTGATTATGTACAGTTACAGCTTTCAGAAGCAGAAAGCAAGAATTTGCAGCTACTAAACAGTTAATTCCCATTGACTGATATGGGAGTTTGATCATTCTTTATTCCTGTCACACGAGCTACCACAGAAACCCAGAAACTAAATTTATAGAAGCAGCAACAGTTTAAAATTAACTGTTAACTACAAGCTAAGATTGACTTATAACTAAAAATCCCTCCAAGATAGCAAGACTTTCTATGGTGCATTAGTCTCCAGATCCAGAGTCTCATGGTTTAAGCCCAGCCAGTAACTCAGAACCATGCAGCCACTCACTCACTCCCTTCTTCCTGTGCGCCCCTCTCCCAGAGGGATGGGGAAGAGAATCAAATGAATTTAACTCCACAGGTTGAAGTAAGAACAGTCCAGTAACTAAGGTATAACACAAAACCACTACTGGCTCCACCAATAATAATAATGATAATGGAAATAACAAGGGAAGAGAATACAAAACTAAACAGAGAAAAGAGAACAATAAACACAAGTGACGCACAATACAATTGCTCACCACTAGTGGACCAATGCCCAGCCCAACCCGAGCAGTGATCTGGGCTTTCTGGGTAATTCTCCCCTCTTTATATATTGGCATGACCTGCTGTGGCATGGAAGACTCCTTTGGCTAGTTTGGTTCAGGTGTCCTGTCACTGCTTCCTCCCTGCTTCCCGCACCCCTCCTCACTGACAGAACATGAGATTGAGAAGTCCTTGATTGGAGTAAACATTACTTAGCAGCAACTAAAAACATCGGTGTTATCAGCATTGTTCTCGGGCTAGTTGAAAACACAGCACTGCACCAGCTACTGAGCAGGAGAAAAATAACTGTTACAGCTGACCCCGGATGCACGTAGGAAACTGCTGTTAGGTTATACATATCATAAATAAGTGTGCAGGCACAGATCTTCTTGAAAGAAGAGAAAATATCCAACCTAATCAGATTCTTCTTGGATTTCATATTCATTACTTAATGTGAACTTCAAGACAGTGTGTGCTGCTAATATATTGCATTAATCCAATCGAATAAATACAGATTTGCATCAATAATGGACAGAGTCACATTACTGTGAATGCAGCATTTCACACAAAGCTGGAAATTGTCTTATACACACCCTCAAACGCATCAGATGAAAAACATGCAGTTCTCGTTACTTTTGAAAGTTGCTTACTGTAAATCTGAATGAACTATTTCTGGGCATGACTTACTACGAATAGCCACAGGTTTTATGAGCAATCCTTTACAAATTACGTGGTATGCAAACAGACAAGTCTGAATTCACATTTGGTATTCCCTCAAGATTTCCTCCTAAATGTATGTCAAAATGAGTAAGTGTGGATCAGCCTCAAGCTGAGCTGTGCTCACCGAGTCCTAGGAATTAAGCACATAATTCCTAATCTTCTAATATATTAAGCTTTTTCCAACAATGATTCTGAGTTAAAAGGTTTCTTATTTTCACCTCCATGCCCAGGAGAATTACACATGTAAATTCTCAGATGAATATGAAATGTGCACATAACTCCAGAGTAGTGATTAGAGGGGAAAACTTCATTCTTTTAATACTTGTGAATTTAGCAAGGGTTTTCACACCATCATTGCAAGAAAAATTTGCACATTAGCCTTCACCTCTCGTAGCTGTCTACTGTCTTCCCACAGATGCAATCTCCTAGTCAAATGAGAATATCTACGTATCCAGCTTTTTGAATTCACATTACCTTGGGTGGATGTTACTGTAAATATGAAGAGTCAGAGTCATTGCAAATATTTCAGACCTGACTTTAAAGGGCTGAGAAAAGGGACATCTTTAAAAATAAAGGCATTTTCCATTAGCTTAGCAAGATGTTTGCTTCAAAACAGAAAACAGAACACTTTGCCTCTACTTCACTGAATGAAAGAACACACAAGTGGGTTTAGGACCTAGATAGTAAAAAAAATCCAGTTTTCAACCAAATTAATACATGTCAACTTCAGATTTGACTCTTGATTGTACGTATAAAACAAAATTGAGAAAAGAAACAACCCTGTGCCTTACCTTGTGATAGCATCTAAAGTAAGCAGCTCGCTCATCTGAGAACTTCTCCAGCCTCTTTGGCCCTTTGCTTGAAGCTTTTTTGAATACTAACCAGCATCTCTGGTAAATCTAGAAACACAAGAGAGTAAACTTGGCATCTACAATGACTTTAATATGACTAACATTCACATAGATGTTAAACTCATAAATCAGTTCTTGCTCTGGAGCTACAATTAATGGCTCTCAGTAGCTTAAACAAAACATAAAATCAAGCTAATGGATACTTACTATTTCTTTTGAATTACGACACAATCTAAATTCTATAGACAGCGCATGAATGCCTGAAAGGTGCTAGGAACAATGAGCTGTAATTATGCTTGCAAATGCAAGGCTTTCTAAGAACAGCTTTGTAAAAATAAGTGACAGACTTTTCCACATGGATTTATTACAGGTTCCAGTCTTGCATGTTTCAGATGGACATGAAGAAAGCTTGAGCAGAGAGGTAGTAATGGATCTTCCATCACATAAGGATAAGAGATATTCTATGTGCAAGGAAAACAAGGATACACATAAGGGAGAAGGAACTGAATTACTGGGTAGCAAAAAAGATAATTTAACTGTAGAACCCAGGACCATTCTGACAACTGGCATTTTGCTTTCAGAGTCCAGTTGAATTTAAATTCAAGTAATCTGTGGCAAACTGTGCAGAGGAGAAAAAAAACCCTCCTTTCCATCTACAGCATTAAGCCACTTCCTCTCTCAAACTTCTGCCACTATTTCTCACCATCTTCCCACCTATTCTTTAACTGTGGTGCACTTTCTACCATCCTCTTACATTCAAACCATAGCTCTCGGCTCAGATAACATACTGTCAGTATAGAAGGAAAGAGTTATAAGCCTTGCCAACTGTTCACAGCCTACATCTAATTAGTAATTCCAAAGTAACACCTGGTACATTAGAAATAAAACAAAACTGCCACTAAAATTAGTGTGATTTCAAAGAAAAACATTCTGACCAGCCATAATCAAGTAGTTCACAGCTCTGACAGCACAAATTCACTGGAGTGATCAGTGACCCATCAAAACATCTCACCACCTCCAGCTAAGCCAGCACCAAACAGGTAACCAGCAGACAAGGCAACTCCATCATTTGAACCCTCGATGGGCTTCTAACCAATGCATTTAGCACAAAACAATTATGTCCATGAAAAGCAACTTTATTTCTGTACCCACAAATGTCAGTTAGTTGACTATAGCTGTTTCTTTTGCCAGCTTTTAGATGTTTCTATAAAGCTGTTCAGAGAATCACAATTACTCCCCCCAGCTTTATTATCCTGCCTGACATGTGGGCACTCACACTCCTGGCCCACTTGGCTGCAGAAGCATTTACAATATGGACAGGCTGCTCTGATGCCAGGCACCAGCTGAACCTATCAAGATTTCCTTCCAATTTTCCAGCTTATTCCAGGCCTCTCAACCTGTTATGTTTAATGCAAGGGTTTGAATTGAATTGTTTAAAAATTATTAGACACTGACCCGAATGACAGCTTACCACCCAAAAAGCCATCTAGATATGCACCCGCTTCTACTGGCAGAGACTTTCTACCTTTACCTTCTGAGAATCTTGTTTGCCCGGCCCAGATAACCTCATCACATCTGATAAAATCTCTCCAAAACCCCACCCAAAAGAGATTGTCAAAAGTTTGAGTATTCAGCTGGTTTGCTTTTCAAAAACCCATAACTTTAACTTCAGCAACTAGAAGCCCATAGAAGAGAACAGAATCCTTTAGTAATGCTTTTGCCATTGTACCACACATGCAAAGACAACTACAGTGATGTCCTGTTCAGACTGTCTGCACTCAGAAGTGCCTCTCTGGGTCAGCAAAAGCTGTAACTGCAACAGTGAGCTCAGCAGCACACGGAATTAGGGGCAGGAGAGGAGAACAACATCCTAATACAAATAAGCAGCTAAAGTATTGCTCTGCCTCCAGCTGGGCACAGATCCAGTATGGTTATCGTCCTCCCAAATGCCACCAGGAGCTTAAGTACTATTAACAATCAATTCCAGTCAAGCATGGTAGATGGCTTTAAGTTAGTGCTACCCGAATTTATGACTACAGCTCAACAACTACCAATTCAAGGCTAATTCTTGGATTTAGATCCAAGGACAAAGCTGGGGGAGAAGGACCAAAACTATAACTACCTCCAAGCGTGCAAAAAACAAAGCCTACAACATAAATACCGGTCTTTCAATTTTGGTTCTGATTGCATATTAGAACAATTCTCTAACAGAAGAATCCCAGGGTTGGAATACATTATGTCAGTGCCTCAGGACAACATCATCATGACCCATGTAACTATACCTATAAAGAATAAACAGCATTCATGACGCTAACTCGACAAACCTGGAGGAAAGTCAGGTCATGAAGGTCCCTCCTCTGAACTTCCTCCTCCTCCTGCATGAGCTAATCAGCTCTCTCTTCCTAGGCAATCTCTAGGCAGACAGATTCTACCACAATAGTAGTTTAAAATAGAATAAAGTATGTTGTTTGATAAGAGACAACAAGTAATTTTTTGCCTGAATATACAGTTCAGAATCCCACCAATGTTAAAATGGTTATGGTTATGATGGTTAACTCCTCTCTGCTGAGTTTTCATAAACAAATTCAAAAGGAAGATATAGGCCTTCTATTGAAACCTGCTTAGCACCTTCAAAAATGAGAAATGGAGCCATCAGGAACACTTATTAGTAACACAAGCCCCTTTCTCTGATCCCATGGCACATATCTCTCACACATGAACATTCAACACCATCTTAACTGAGCATGAACTACATGGTACCCTAAACCTCTAGCAATAAAGTACTAAAAAAAGGGTGCTGGACTAGGTGACCTTTAAATGTCCCCTCCAACCCAAACCATTCTCTGATTCTATGAATAACCAATTTGGCAGCATCTGCCTAGGAGCACTGAAAGCCCTTCAACCCACTCAATGCACAGATGATGTGCCTAAGACAGAGAGCTAATCATAAACCCTTTATGAGTACAATACAGAGCAAATAATTAGGTCATTGATGCCACCATGACCTAGTAAGTGCCTGAAACTTGTCAGTATTTCTTCAGCTTGAAGAAGGTATGGGAACTGTTTACACTGATACATTTTGACAGCAGCAACATGAACCAGCCCTGGAAGCTCTCAGGTGCCTATTCCATCATGAATGCTTAGCTGACTTACCCCTCAAATCCACATTTTCAGTACTACACCATGAATAGGAATTAGTTGAAAGTACTGCTGTAATTACTTCCACACCAAACACTTGGGCTGACAGGGATTAGATAAATCCAAACAGCAAATCAGGATCTGATGTGCTGAGAGAGAACAGTAATAGCTGTCATTTGCATAACACCTAAAATTTACATAGCTCTCCCTGTGAGAGCTTACAGAAAGTCTAACTCAGAAGTTAATTCTAGTATGAAAAATTAGCATCTACTTCCTATGGTCTCTCCTGGAAATTTCAGCTTCTAACAGTTTCCAACAGCCCATCAAGTAGGTAACAATGTAAAACTCAAGGGAAAGAATGCAATTGTTTATCAAGTGGATGATCCAAAACCCAGATAAGGGATCCAACATGCATGTCCAAGGTCACATCAAAACAGTTCTATTTTTGGCTCTAAAGATCAGCTGATATAAATCATTACCACAAATGAAGTCAAAGAAGTGACTTCAAAGGAATGATGCAATCTGAGTATCTGGATTCCTGCCTCTCGGCGCTATGCCCTCGAAACCAGGCAGGATTGCTCAGCCACTCCCATGCTCCGCACTGTGAAGCAAAGGAACTATTAAGCTCAGCTGGAACTGGTCAGCAGCTGGCTGAGTACAGTGGATACATTTCTTCTGACTTGCCTGGATTCCATGGTTCAGCTGCGGTTTGGGAATACTCTCCCTGCAACGAGGGAAGCTGAAACCGGGCTTGCTGTTCTACATGACAACCCAAACCCCTGGACTGCCCCTGGAAATAGGTGTGGGGAGGGTGACCTGTCAGCCTTCACCACCTCCCAGCTGATTGTTAGTCAAGATAACCAAGAGCTAGATTTCTGAATGCCTGCAAATGTCATTCTTTGGTATGAAGCATAAACTATTCCACGCAGAAAACAAACACTTGTGTTTAGAAACTAAAATCTGCATGTCAGTCTAAAGCAACTTCACCCCAACCCTCAATACCTTTGTTCAGCGAATGCTTTAAAAAGGCATTTGCAAACAGCCAATTACTTCCAGACTGAGGGGGAGGCTATTTTTCTCATCTTGGGGCAGGGAGGTTAAAACAGGCTATCTTTTAAGACCAAGATATGTGGCTTCTACTACATTAAAGCAAAGCAAGCCTATTTTACTTCAGGATCAAACAATTCCACCCCTTTTGTTAGTTATTTAAGAGGGATACAGAGGTCAGACACAGTAGCACAAAGTCTCATCTGGCGAATTTCTCCTTTGTGAACAAGTGAATCTTAAGGGAGAGCTGCTCTATTTTATTAGTGTTGTGTTTTTCTGCTCTCTGCCCTAAAACAAAGAATTGCAATGAGCTGCATTTACAGGGACACTGAACTTCCTGATAAATAAACACAAACTGGCCCTTTTTTAAAGCAGTAGCTGAAAGTACAATCATGCAGCTTAGGACAAGAACCAGAAAACCTGGTCTACTGCCGGCATCTTGCATTTTATTGCTCTGATAACCTCTAGAAACCTTATCTAGCAAAGGCACAGCACAATGGCACAAGGCATTTCTCTCAGTACTTCTGAGCTCTTTTTTTTTTGGGGGGGGGGGGAGTGGGAGGAAGAGGAGGGAGATATGAAAACAAGTGCTGTCATTTTATCCAAGGCTGTTAGATGGCTCACCCACTGAAATACCTTGGTTACGAGCAGAAAACTGAGTGGTTTTGCTGAACTTTGCCAGGGAGTGCCCAGTGGACTGGAGCTCCAGGTACAAGGTCCTTTCCAACCGTGAGTTGTTCACATAGGAAATTAGCCAGCTTGTGCTAAGTGTGTGGATCTTAATTCTTCCATTTTAAAAGTGCCTTAATGTGTCACTTCTGACTCAAAAGGTGTCAAGAGCCCTGCAATAGAATTCTTAGCCT